AGAGCTAGAAGAGATTTGAGAAATCACTCAATCTAACCTTCTCATCTTACAGATGAAGAAATGCAGACCCTAAGATGTGAATTGACACACCTAAGGTCACTTCAATAGATCTATTAACTTATGTAGATGGAAGTAATCCCTCCACATACTTTCATACTGTGAGATGTATTTTTGTCAACATGTGGAAGCCTTTTCTCTGGATCTTTTAAAATGTTTTTAAAATTACATTATATTGAGGTCTTTTGTCATTATGTTATGGTGATTTTCTACCATGCTTGGAGGACTTAACTGTCTCAGTGCCAGTAACTACTACCTTGGGGCCCCACTATCTTGAGTGGTGTTTGTCTTAGTTACCCACTACATCTAGGCCCAGCCTAAGCCATGCTTCATTACACTTCGTAGGAGCCAGAAACTATGCTCTGGAGCAGCGGTATCAAATTCAAATAGAAACAATCTTCAGATCACATATTGGCTTAGAAAACCACAAAGAAACATTATCTATGTTTTATTGTATTTTTATTTTGTTTCACATTCCCCAAGCACATTTTAATTTGCTTCTGAAACCACTAAAGGGTTTTGGTGAGGAGTCTGACACCTCCTGCCGTTTGGATCAATCACTAAGTTGACAAATATTATTGAGCATCACTACGTACAAGGAAGGCACTGTGCTAAGCGCTGTAACAATAACCAAATCATCTTTAGCACTGCTCCTGGAAAAGAGATGTGGATCTAGTCCTCTACGACTCCACGAATGTCCCTGTAACTTTCCAAAACAAGATGTCCCTTCTTATCCACCGCTCCCTTTTCTATGTTATCTCCTCCTATGATAACATAAACTCTGAGGGCAGGAACTATCATCTCATAGATTTATATTCCCCATTTGTATTGGTGTACTGGGGGCCCGGTGCATGCTCAGGTCCCCTCAGCTTTACTCCACTGGTGCAGCTTCTCCATATAGAAGACAGAGGATGCTGGGGAGCTTGCTTCTGGGAGACTCATGATATTTAAAGGAAATGCCAGGGAGAGACCATGGAATCTGGAGAGACGTTATGTGGCTAGCACTGGTTGACTAGTTGAAGAGAAGCCTCTTTGATTGGCTTTGGAGGAATTTTTTAAAGCCTGTCAGCCTCAGTGATGACCTGTTTGCCTCTCTTTGCTTCATTCTTGAGACCATGTGGTAAGGAGAGGGACCTAGAGTCAATATGGTCCCCTGAGAAATGAGGTTCAATCATTTACCTTTTCATTCATTCTTTTCCCTTCTAAGTGAAGGGAGTGGAGACTCCAACCTTGGTTGGGGGAACAGGCCATAGGAACCTGAGGGTCAGACTGGTTTTACAGTCAGCAAAAACCCCACGGAGCAATCTTTGGGAATGACCTCTATACCACTTCACTTAGTGATCTCATCAGCTCACAGATTCAAATGACATCTCTATGCTAATGATTCTTAAATCTAATCATTCAGCCCTGCCTCTCTGCTGACCTCCAGTCTTGCATCTCCATCTGCCTTTCAGACATCATGAACTGGATAGAACACCAGGCCTAGAGTCAGAAAGACTCATCTTCCTGAGTCCAAATCTGACCTCAGACACTTACTAGCTATATGACCCTGAGTAAATCACTTAACCCTGTTTGCCTCAATTTCCTCATCTGTAAAATGAGCTGGAGAAGGAAATGGCAAACCACCCTAGTATCCAGTATCAGTCATGCCCAACCCTTCACGATCCCATTTTGAGTTTTCTTGGCAAAGATACTAGAGTGATTTACCATTTCCTTCTCCAACTTATTTTACAGATGTGGAAACAGAAACAAACTCCTTGCCCAGGGTCACACCACTAATTAGTGTCTGAGGCCAAATCTGAACTCAGGAAGATGAGACTTCCAGATTCCAGGCCTGACACTATCTACTGAGCCACTTAGCAGCCCCCTTGAAGTGAATGTCAACTTTTTTTTAAGTAAATGGTATTTTTTTCTAATTACACATAAAAATAGTTTTCAACATTCATTTTTTATAAGATTTTGAGTTCCAAAATTGTCTCCCTCCCTCCCAACTCCCAAGACAGCAAGCAATCTGATATAACCTATATCATAACCTATAACCTATACATGTGCAATCATATTAAACATAAATATCAACTTTCGAAAGCTACTTGATATTAAGTGGTTAAATTGAACTAGGAGCTAGTCATATCCTCCTAACAGTGGAGGTAGGGAAGAAGAGAGGGAGGAAACAGGCAGTCGGGGCTAGAGCCAATGAGACACCCCTTTCTATAACCCTGAGGGGTGTTACAGAAGCCTGGCCCTGAGATAGTGGAGACAAAGCCTACCATGCTCCATTGGCATAGTGTAGAACTTATTTGCAATGGGGAGGTTTCCACGCTGGAGAAAAACGCTGTCAATAAGAGGAGGAGCCCAAGCCCTGGCTTAGCTAGTCTATAAATGTGGGCTTTAAGGGTACTGGGCAGAATCAAGATGAAAGGTAACAATATTCGGTATTCCTACAAGCAAACAGTTGTGTTTGTTTTGTGTTCTGATGAAGTTTAAGAATCAACTTCCTAAAACTATGTTATCATTCAATCATTTTTCAGTTGTGTCAGAGTCTTCATGACCCCATGTAGGGTTTCCTTGGCAAAGACGCTGGAGTGGTTTGCCATTTCCTTCTCTAGCTAATTTTACAAATGAGGAAACTGAAGCAAGCAGGGTTAAGTGACTTGCCCAGGGTCACAAGGCTAGTAAGTGTCTGAGGTCAGATTTGTGTCTTCCTGATTTCAAGCCTGGCACTCTATTTACTGTGCCATCTAGTTGCCCTGCCTAAGAGTATAGCAATAATTACATATTAAGTTACTGAATCCTGCTAAAATTTTTTTTTGTCATTTTATGCTTGTGGGTGCTATGTGTTAGCATTTCTTTTGTATGTGGCAAACAAATACCTGTTCTATCATTGATTCATATTATACACTGAAACTCCCCCACTTAGGGATAGCCTAGATATGAGCCAAAATATAAGCTTTAAGTAAATCTTCCCCAAAGAGTACGGGATTGGGGGCATAAAGACACAAAGAGAAAAAGTCTGATCCTTTTTCTAGGTTGTCACACTCCCTCAAGTGAACCTAGTCCAATCTGGTACATGGGTCCAGAGCAGACAGACCCCTTAACAGGAACAAGAGGGCAAAGTACTAATGTCCTCCTGAACTATTTGTGATTTTAAATGTTAGATATGCTTCATAGACAATTATTTGTATTAAGAAATATGCATGAAGAGCTACAGTTTTCCACATTGTTACAAGAGTAACCAGTTTTATTAAAAAACAAAACAAAACTTTAATAAAAAAAAAAAGGAAGTTTCTCTGCAAAATTGCAACAATATAGGGGTGGAGCATAGGGCAATTATATTATTGCAAAACACGCTGGCTTCCTCGTGTTAAAGTACTTTGGATGTCATTTGACCTAAAAAACTGTTATTTTTCTTAGTTACACAAATGAAAATCATCCTACAAAAATTTTCTACTGTGTATTTGGTACATAGTTTTTGGGGGAAATCTGAGTATTTTAAATAAATCAATACAAAATCCTCAAATTCATACTCTTCCTGAAATATGAAATGAATAACTTTTTCAAGTTAAAGCTCTGAATGATACATTTATAAAATATTCTTTATACAGTCCAAAATTTAAAACATACTTGCTCAGAAAAGGAAATAGGGGCAATAAAGACCTGCTGATTAATCATTTGACTGGTCTGTAAATGCAATTTGCATTTTGCTTTAGAACCTAGATTTTCCAAACTATGAAGGGTAAGGAACCTGTTTTCAGTAGACAAGATAGTGACTGGAATTAATTGAATGGAGGAGGTGTGTGAGTCATGGTTAGATTCTCCTAAAGGAAGATTAATTTTACAGCTGATATGGACAACAGGGGGAAAGGTGAAATCAGTAAACACTTATAAAGCACTACTATGTGCCAAGCACTGTCATCAGCACTCTTTGGGTCTCAGTTCCGTCATCAATAAAATGAGGGAGGTGGCCTAGTAAAGACCTAAAGGTCCCTTTCAGCTGTAGGTCTATTACTCCAAATCCACTGCTGTTTTCACTGCTCTTTGAAGGGACTTGCCTGCCTTAAGTGACACATTTATTAAGTGGTGGATTTGAGACCCTTCTGAAACACTTAACTTCAGGAGAAAATACTGCTTTACCCTTTGGCTAATAAACTTCTTAGTTCAAGGGGAGCTTGAACTGCCCCCCCCATAACTATAATCCTAATTTCCTTTTGTTTTATTTTATGCATTTTCAAACATTACTCTGAGTAGGGATACAAGGAATTCACCAGCCCATCCCCTCCCCCCCCAAAGTTAAGAATCCCTGGTTCAAATTCAATTTTTTTCTATTCAACAAACATTTATTAAGCGCCTACTATGTGCCAGGCACTGTGCTAAGCGGGGAGGATACAAAAAGAGGCAAGAGTCTCTGCGCTCAGGGAGCTTACCCTCTGTTGGAGGGCACCACATACGAGGCAAGTTGCATAGGGGAGAGCTGGGAAATAGCAGACAGAGGGAAGGCTGGCATTAGGAGGGGCTGGGGAAGGTCCATTCCCGGGTGGGCAGGGGTAAGGGGCAGTGGGCCCGTCCGGGGGCACGTGACTTCACCAGGGGACCTCCCGCCACTATCCCTGACTGGCCACCGTCAAGGCCAGGCTCCTGGGCTCCGCGGGCCCGTCTTTGTGCAGGGCCCTGTGCCCGGTTTATCCCCCGTGGCCCTTTGCCTTGCCCAAGGCGGCTCGCTGGCTGGAGCCTCGCCAAAAGGGCACCGCTGCTCACGTTCGATAACAAGAAGGGGAGCAATTATCCAGCGCCCACTGTATACCAGACGCTGAGCTGGGCGCTGGGGATGCACGGAAAGGCCGAGCCCCCCTCCCCCGAAAAGAGGAAGATCCTCTCATGGTCACACGGTCCCGGGCCCCGATAAATTGGGAAGGTCCCTGAAAGAAATGCTGACCCACCTAACCCCCGTACCGCTCCCGGAGATGGTCTGGAGAGTAAACAGCGAGTCACGCGCCCCGCGAGTGCCCGCCCCCAGCCCAGCCCCGCCCCCGCTCTCGGCTCCGATTGGCCCGGCGTGGAGGCGGGGCTTCTCGGGGGTGGAGCTTCGCGGTGACCTGGGCCGGCCGGGCGATAACCCAAGTCGGCTCGCCGCCTCTCCCGGCTCTGGCTCCTGTCGGATCACCGTCAAGATGAGGCTTCGGACGGCGGCGCTCCCGCCCCTGCTACTGCTGCTGCTGCTGCTGGCGCCGGCCTCGCCGGCCGCTCCGGAGGAGCCCGACCTGCCCCCCCGCGAGGACGTGGCGCGCGTGGCGCGGTTCGTGGCCCATGCCTGCAACTGGGGCGCAGTGGCCACCTTGTCCACTGTGCCGGCGGTGCGCGGGCGGCCCTTCGCCAACATCTTCTCCCTCAGCGACGGGCCGGTGGGCCAGAGCAGCGGCGTGCCCTACTTCTACCTCAGCCCGCTCCAGATGTCCGTGGGGGACCTGCAGGTGAGGCCGCGGGGGCGGGGGAGGACGAGGGCCGGCTCCGGGGCGCCGCCTCCACGCGGGCCCGGGGGGCGGGGGGGGGGGGAAAGGAACCTCCGCGGGGGGTCGGGAGACTCTCCGTGGGCCTAGGGGCACGGGGTGGGGGGGCAAGCTCGGGGGCCGCACGGGGCCGGTGGGGGTGCGACTCTGAGCAAAGGGACCTCTGCCTTCGTGCCAGGCACTGTGCTGAAATCAGCACTTTACAAATATTTTCTCGTTTGATCCTCTCAACAGCCTCGAAAAGGTAGGTGCTATTATGATCCCCATTTTACAGTAGAGGAAACTGGGGTTGAGAAGTTAAATGACTTGTCCAGGATCCCACAGCTCGTGAGAACCCGGGTCTACCCGACTGACTCTAGGTTCAGTACTCTATAAATTACAGACAACTTGACATTTGGATAATTTCCCACACTGATGGAATCACGAGTCCAGATCCCCCCCCCAAACAACAACAACAACAAAACCCCCCACAAAACAGAACAAATTGTGGTGCACTGCTAAATGAGACACTTGTTCCACACTCCACTCATCCTTCAAGATCCGGGTCACATCTCAGTGTTCTCTTAGGAAGCCTTTCCTAATCACTCTAGCAGCTGGGGTGACCTTTCAATATTATGATTTTGTAATTGATCATCGTCTGTCATGTGACATCTTACACATTGTATTGAATTTTTAATTTTTCAGTCTTTTCATAACTTGTCTTCCAGCTAGAGAGCTTCCTGAGGGCAGGGGTCACCAGCACCTTCAAAATTATTGCTCAAGAAATAGTTTTTGTTGGATCGTGAAGTGGGATCTCACAACACTTTGCTTGTGGCCTTTGTGGTAGTTGTGACTCAGGGCCCTTTGCCAGCGCGAAGCTGGCCCCTGTATTTAGAGTGGATAGGCTGAGAGATCTTTCTGGCTCGGGGTGGGGGGTGCTGGCTCTCTCTGGCCTGGTGTCTGAGTTAAATATACTCAAAAGAGTCTGTACAGAAAGCCGGCACAGTCTTGAGACCCAAATTGTGACTTGTTTTTTATCTAGCAGTGGCACATTTTACTAGCCTCATATCCCAGCAGACATGGGTTGTGAACAGTGTTTGCCTAGCATTTTGCAAACTTTAATCTTAGAAGAACTGGTCTTATCTGGATCTTACAACAGTTTCTTCTATGTTAAAATCACATGACGGATTCTGCTAGCCCATGCTATCCCCAATACAAAGTGATTCAGGCACTTTGGACTTTAATGAATTTTAGAATTAGCTACTTGAGCAACTTCTGTCTATACTGAGTTTCATATCACATCATAACCTCATGCAGAGAGAGAATTATGGCTAACTATGTAAGTTCCTTAAGACGTGGACTATCTTTGCTTTCCTTTGTATCCCCAGCACTTTTCACAACGACAGGCACATCAAGTAAATACTTAATAAATGCTTGTGGATCGATTAAAGACCAGAACTAGACTCATTAGGTTCATAAACAGGGAACAGCACTTTAAAAGTTCATTAGTCAGGGACATGTGTTTATTCCTATTGTAATTATTATTCCTTATAATTCTAATTCCTAAACTTGTTTATTTCTATTTTAATTATTACTTCTTAATGAAGTGTTTCACTAATTTCAGCGAGACAAGAGTTTTACACGTATATGTGAATCGTACAATCTTATTTCTTAATCAGAGAGCCTGCCTTGCTACTTTTATATTAAATAGAAGCTTATTTAATTTAACTGATGGAATATCATTCATAAGCAGGAAGGATTTAGAGTGAAAAAGAACCTCAGAGATAATTTATCTCAACCTCCTCGTTTTATAGATTTGGAAACTGAAGCCCTGGAGAGAATTAAGTGATTTGTACAGGGTTACATAGGCTGAAAACTGAAGTCAGAATTTGAACCTGTGATTGCTTGGGTGAGGAAATTCCCTCCATCCATTGAGCTCAGAAGCTCTTAGTGGAAAGGGCAGAGGCATCCAGCTTACCAGAGAAAGATGCCCTTGGAAGTGTTTAACACAGTAAATGAAAATACGGCACAAAATAGAGAATCTTAATCTGTGGTTTTCTGAGTCACTATGAGGCCATTTCTGTTTGAGTTTGACACCAGTGATAGGTCATCCAGCTGGTCAGTGGCCTAGTGGCCTGGTGCTCTGGGCACTATGGCACCCCCTAGCTGCTAGTACTACAGTGAAGCAGCTTGATATAGTAGAAGCTTAAGAGTTGGAGTCAAGGATCTGGGTTTGAATGCTAGCACTGTTCTTTGTGAGTTGCATGGCTGTGGGCATATAATTTCATCTTGCTGTATCTGAATTTGTTCACCTACAAAATGAGAAGGTTGGCCCAGATGGCCTCTGAGGGCCCTCCAGCAATGAGATCTGTGAGCCCCTCCGACAGGAAGCTATCAACTCCCTCGTTCTGGACCCTTTTGTTTTCTTAATGTGTTCTGGGTGGAAGCAGCAGAAGTTTGGGCTGCCTTGCCATGCTGCTGAGCAGAATGAGTTTGGAGCCAAGTAAAACCCATAGATTTCTTTCACAAGGACTCTTGTCTATCTGTGCTACTTCCAGCCTGTAGTGGTAAAGTTGACATTTGTGAATTAGTGTTGAATACTTGACATTTGTTTATTAAATTTCATCTTATTCTATTTGATCCGTTGTACTAGCTTGTCAAGTTCTTTTTTGGATCCAGATTCTGGCACCCAACCCTCTTAACTTCATGCAACCTGAAAATTTATGTTGAAAAGCACAGAACTAATCATAGATTTCTGTTCCATTAGACATCTCTCTTCAAGTTAATGTTGACCCATTGCTCTTTTGGTACAGTCATTCATCCGTTTCCAAATCCACCTATTTATGCTACCATCCAGCCCATATCTCTTCAGCTCATATAAGGAAATCTAAGTAATACTGTATCTACAGTGTTCCCATGATCCGCAAGGGTAGATACTCTGTCAAAGAAAATGGGGTTAGTCTGGCATGAGCTGGTCTTGATAAACTTAGGCTACTTTTTAATAATTACTGCTTCTCAGAATCTGTCCATTTTCTATTTTTGGAAATTGGGACATCATTTGATCTCCAGCCTTGTAGCACCTTTACCATTCTCCATGAATTTATCAGAGATCACTTGACTGCAGGCTTAAGAAGCATGCCTGCCATGAGTAGAAGATGCTGTCTATAGTGGTGACTATTTGAAGCGAGGAGGTGAATGGAAATGGCTATTGAAAATGTGTGATGGTATTGGGGGTTACATGGCATCTGTGAAATTTATTCCCTTTGCAGGTATCACTTAACAGAAAGATTTCAGTCTTCATTGTCATTCTGCAGGTGAATCCAACGGCCAGTTTGACAATGTCTTTGGCACAGACTGAGTTTTGCAAAAAACAAGGATATGATCCTCAGAGCCCCCTTTGTGCTCATATAATGCTGTCAGGAACAATCACTAAGGTAAGTTGTTATCATTCTATAATAAGAAAGATAGACAAAGTAATGTGATTTTATTTTTTTAATCAAGTAAAGAAGAACTTGGTGAACTTAATTATATTGATTTGTAATTAAGGTTGTAGAGAGGACTGTAGAGGAAAAGCATCCTAATATAAGGTGGTAGACACAACATAGGTGCAGCATCCCTGGGTTTAAATTTGAAAAATAGCAAATGATGGCCAGGAGGGAAACAGAGACAAAATGTGGAAGAAACGGTAGGTAAAATGTCACCGTATTGATCTTAAAATTACTTATACTGCTGAACTAACAAACATTCTTCGTAGCACTTGGAGTATTTTTCACTTGAGGAAAGCTTTATTTGAAGAGCAGTTGGGAATCGCTTGTGGGTATTTAGTTGCTGAAAAGGAGAAAATGGCAAAAATAGCAGAGGGAAATTGGATATCCTAAATGTTGTTCAATCCAGTTCCACTCTTTTAATAAATGTTTTGTTGTTGGATTTTATTTAAATGTTTTAAGCGTCTACCTCCAAATATATATTAGTTTTGTCTTTTGTGTACTTTCTTCAAATGCCATCTGTACTGTTAACTCTTTCTATCAGTAACATTTCTTTTGTTTCAAACTGTATATTTAACAAACTAATTGTGCATGTTTGGTTTAAGGATTCTGAAGGTAGAGGTATCATAACTTTTACTGTTGTAACTAGTGAGCCCCTCTGACTTAACTATTTTAAGAAGTTACTTAAGTATTTTAAGAAATACCATCCATTCTCCAGAGAATAATCAGTTCCAGTAGTATTTTGTAACTTCTTTGTATCTGTTATAATGATCTTACTTCTTCCTATTCCCCTGACTTCAAAATCAAAATTTACAACTGATTCATTCTATAGATTTTTGGTACTACATATTCTTAATAGATTAGAAAGTCAAGTATTAAAGCTGTAAGAATTTTTGTTTCCAATGGAGAAAAAAATTGCATTCTTCTTTGATAATTTTTAGGTGAATGATACAGAAGTGACCTTTGCAAAAAAGTCATTATTCAGTCGTCACCCTGAAATGGAATCATGGCCTTCAGATCATAACTGGTTCTTTGCCAAATTAGCTATAACCCACATCTGGATCATAGACTTCTTTGGTGGAGCCAAAACAGTGACACCTGAAGAATATTTTAAAGCCAAACCTTAGTAAGTACCTACCTTCTTTCTGATAATGTTGCTCTTTCTAGTAGTCTATACACTTGTTGCCTGAGCTCCCAGAATTGATTAAAGTTTAAATCCAGTGTTGGGGTTTTATTACAGATGAGGAAAGTTTGAAACATCTCTTCCCCCCACCCCCCCAAAAAAAGTATCACAGTCACCAAATGAAGAAAGGGCAGGGGGAAGGTACTTATAACCTATCTATTTATATGACTCTTCTAGACTATGGACCACCCATTCTCAGAGTCACCCTTAAGGGCAGTCCTTGGAGACCCAGGTGTTTCTAGAACTTTATCCTTGTGCAATGGGCCAACAATAAAAATAGTGAGTACATGCCGGGAGATGTGGGCTAGTGTATCAGGAAATTAGGATATTGGAACAGATTGGGGAAGAACCACAGGAAAAAAAAAATGGGAGCAAGTTGAACGAGGAGAGAGTCCAGGGGAAAGGGAGAAGACATTTTAGCAGAGGGACAGGAATTAGGGAATGAGATCAGATTCCATGGAGTTTAGGGAAGGGTTGGTGTGGTCATGTTGAAGGAAAAGGGGAAATAGAGACTCACAGCTCAGTGGCCATCTTCTGGAAGCCTTTCCTGATTTCTTCAGTGATCAGTACTCTCTCCCTCTTGAAATTACTGATATATACTTGGTATTTCCTTAACTTACATGCATGTTTTATCCCTCAGTAAAACAGACCAATGCCCAACACAATGCCTTGATATAGTAGGCATTTGATAAATGTTTGAGCTGAAGTGAATTGAATTTTGAGTAGTTGCTCTGTCAATTACAACATTTTTTATTTGAATCAAACTTTATTTGTACTGTTCTAATAACAAAAATAAACATGGAGCACTGTATACTTTACAAAGTACTTTGCACACCTCTTATTTAAGACACATAACAAGCCCTGGAGGTTGAGAGTATGAATGCTGTTATTCTCATTTGTAGATGAGGAAATGTAGGGTGGGAGGTTGACCTGGGCCTGTGGTTACAGGGCTAATGAAGACTGGAGCAGCACTTAAACCTGGGTCTCTTGACTTCAAGGCCAGAGCTCTCTGCACAACATCATGCTGCCTTTTCACATTATAGAATTGTTTTATATGCAAAATAATTCAACTGGAATAGAAATCATTTCAACTCTTGGCAAAAAGAAGCATAGGGATTAAGATTTGGCCAGTGCGGTGGGAAGAAAATTTTAAATTAATTTAATCCTGGGCTAGTAGTTCATTGTGATATAGGAAAAGAGGAGAGCAAACATTTTTGTGAGGAAAAGTTTATCTGAAAAATTGGTTGTTGAAAGAATTTTTTAGGGGGAAATATAAATGATATTTGTAAATGTTTAAATCATTTCTTCTCTTTCCATGTGTAAATATTGGTCTTAGAAGGTATGTTATTTTTCCAAATAACAAAAAACTTTTTAAACTAGAATTTCATTTTGCTTAGATGTAATACTTTGACAAAGATTTACCCTGTGATAATCTCCATAGGTGCCATTTGCCAATGCTAATACAGAACTGGGATGAAAGGAAGACTATTTAAGTGTTAGGTCAAGTCAACAAGCATTTATTATGCACCTACAGTTATCCCTTCCACACCTCAGGGGTTAGGGGCACAGCACCCCTGTGTTCTGGAAAATCAGTACAAAATTTTTTAGCCCCCCCCTTGCACCAGAGTAGAAGTCTGAATTATTATGGTATTGAAAGATGAAATATGTTGATATTATATAATATTATAGTATATGTTATATTATACATAATATACATTATATATTATATACAATATATTATATATTATAATATTTATGCATTTTTGAGTTTCTGAACTTTTTCTTTGTCATCTGCCAACCTTCACATATTGTCTGTGGCTTCTGCAAAACTCCCCCAAAGTACCCACTTAATTTCTTATACCGACCTTATGTCAAAACCGAGATGGGAAAATTTGTCCCAGCTCTGCCACTTATTGTAATTCCTCATCTGTGAAATGGGAATAATACTTGTATTACCTGCTTCATTGTTACTAAGTGTGAGTTATTATTGGTAGTTTAATAAACTATTCTTATTATGTCCTGCTACTTCTCGATCATCACCTATTTACTGCCATTCAGAATGTTAATTAGTAGTCTATTTAACCATTGTTCTCACCTTTGAAAGAGGTTGCTTTGAACCAAAGTTATCAGAGCAGCCCACCAGATGGGAAATTATCTTCTGGGCTAATAACAACCAAAGCAATATTACTTTATAGACTAGATGAGCTTAGGCTGGAGGTCTAATGCTTACTTTGTTTCTGTCCTAGAATAAATTTTTTTTTAAGTATTTGTATGTATAAACTCAGTTTAATAAAAAATTCTTTTCTCCCTTCCCCAGGTGTGATCAATTCTGTAATTCCATCAAGATGCTTGAGTCACTTTGGGATATGTAGAAAAACTGCTTAAAGTTCTTCTGTGCATAGTTTTATAAAAGAAAAAAAGCTTATTTTTATATGCTTAATATTAAATTAGAGGCTTGCTGTGAGAAATTGAGATTTAAGTATTTGTATGACATTTAAAAAATTATTTTGAAGAAATAATATCATTAAGGAATCATGGTTTCACTGAGCATTAAGGTCGTTTCCCCAGAAACAAAAGTTGCACATTTAAATTGGCCTTTGAGATTGGAAGTTGTTTCAGCATGTGTTGTGTATTCCTGGAGATCTCTTTGTTCACTAAACCTACCATTCACTACGAGGCTTCTGATAGTTTTACCTGAACAGGATGAAAAGGGGTTAATTTGCCCATATCCTCAATGTGTCTGAATCTTGCCAAACAGAAAACCTGTTTATTTAAACACAAATGCAACTTCAGACAGCTAATCAGCTTATGTATGGCGATTGTGGGGTTTTGCTTGTTATACAAGAACAAAGCTAGACTCAGAAGAAATTGCTGTAACAATAATATAGAATCAAGTAGGCATGTGAAATTTTTCCTAAGTTTGATTTTACCCATTTTATTTGAACTTCTTCCTACTTGTGGTTCCCTTCCCTTAAAAAAAAATAAATGTTTTATCTTTTGAATGGAAAGACAAATTCCACAATGGAATTTGTGGGTAAATATTGAGATCCTCATTAACCAGATGAGTCCATGGTTTCAGGTGCTGTATCAGCGCATAATTTTACCCATTCTACAGTGTCCTTTAACTGTTGTTTATACTTTCTTACTTTTTGCAAATAAGGTCATTCAGGCTTTTTTACTTGGTCTTTTCAAGTCCTCTTGAAGGAAGCAGGAGAGGGTAAGATCATATAAAGAAAAGGAAATATTCTTTACTCAAAATAAAATATAATGGAGGACATTATTGTTAATGATTATAAAAATAAGTCTGAATACTTTTGAAAAGCATGAAGAGTGATTATCTTAAATGTTATGAGGGATAGTATGGTGGAGAGGCCAAAAAGACCTGGATTCAGATCTCACCCCTGAGACATACATACTGACTGTAGGACCCTGGACAAGTCTCTTAAAGTTATAAGTTGCAGAGAAGGTGCTGACTTGCATTGGTAGAAGAAATTTCCTTGTCTGGGAGTTCCCTACAACAATTAAAATCACAGGTCCAATTCCTATCCCCTGTTTGAGTTATGTAAAATTGGTTATTGTTTTAAGATTATTTTTATTTTCTTCCTAAATAGCATAAACTAAAATATTCTTTTCTAAATCTCTAATGGTCATTTTCAGACAAAATTCTTTATTTGAAAGTGTGTGTAAACAGTAGCCATAGTGACACAGTACTTCTTGGGTTCCCTTCATAGCTCTGTTATTGACTCATTTTTTAAAATGCTTTATTACTAGTTGTTTAAATCAACATCAAGGAAATGAAATAGGGATGAAACCTTATATGTAAGGTCCTTTAGAATTTCATTAAGTAAGATCAGGTCCTATAGAGATTTGCCTTACCCTGAATTCTGTCTTGCAATGAATAATAGCTCTTCAACAAATATTTGTACTGTAAATTGATTGCTCTTGAGATTCCAGTGAATTTATGTAACTCAGGGAAACACAATGTTTGAAAAGATTTTGGGAGCTCTTTAGATGAAATGGGTTTTTAGAAGCCTACCAGCTATCTTTCTTTAAATGTTATAAAAAAAAAAAAGAAAGAAAATTACTCATTTACTCTATGCAGAAATAATTTCAGTAGATTCTTTAGGACTCCTTTTGATGTATTTTATGTTGGAAGTTAAGTGCTAGATTCAAAAACTGCGAAGTGAAAAAATGAATTTATTTGAAAACTATAAAATTGATTTATAGTATTCCATCAGGCTCAATTAATGCTTTAAAAAGTTTTTTTTATAAAATTTTGTTATGAGATTGGTCTCTCAAACAAAGCACTAATAATTAAAATTTATTCTTTAACAAAATGTGTTTGATTTATTGTCTTGTATAAAGGTCTTATTACTGATTTTTGCTTTCTTCTTGGCTCTGTTGTTAATCCTTTGTATTTTTGCTTTCATTTTAGCCTGGCTGTTACAGCGACAGCCAGAGAAGATAAACTGCTATTTCAAAGCTTGGCCGATGATCTTTTGATTAAGTGCAGGATGCTTTTTCTTCTCTTTTTGTTGCCAAAAAGCTAATCATATGCTGAAATTTATGGAGAAGCCAGAGTCCAGCATGTTGTTATGGAAGCTTGCCTCTCGTAAACTTACCTTTTCGTACAAATTAGGATGAAGATGACCAGTCTGGTTATCTCCTCATTTATTGTTAGCCTTGGAAACTTTTATTCCAGTCCTCTCTTTCTACCATATAAAAGCCCTTTGGAACTTATTTAAGTTCTCATTTTTCTTATAAAAGTAAAGTGAACCAGCAGGTGCTTGCTTTTCTTTTAATTAAATATGAAGAGCGTTAAAACCTGAAGCAATACATTCTTATTGGCCACCAGAGGGTACTGTAGACTACAGTTTTTGAGTAGATGAAAGCATTTTATGCTAGATTTGGGGATTTAGAGCTGAAAGGGGCTTTAAAGATCATTTAATCCAACCATCTCGTTTTTTCAGAGGTTTGTGGTAAAGTATTAAAAGGTAAGAATGCTAAATAACTATAAACTTGGTTTATGGATAGTTTAAAGACAATGGAGTAATTTAGAATGAGGAAAAATAGTAGATGGGTATCAAAGTTGGAACAAGGTGGAAAGCATGGTAAAGTATCCTCAGAAGGGGGGCACTGTTGTAAGAGCCTAATTGCTCTTCCTATTCCATTCACTGCCTACCTCCAAATCCATTTTCCACATAGTTGCCACAAAAATCTTACTAAGGCACAGGTTTGATTCTACCCAGAAACCTTGAGTAGCTCCCCATTGCCTCAAGAATGAAATACAAACTCCTGAGTCTTAAATTTAAGGCCCTCTACAGTTTAGCTCCTACCTACACTCCTCTTTCTCCTCCCCAATTATTTCGGATCACTCCTTATGCTCGTAGTTCTAGTCTAACAAGACTGCTAAGCTGTTCTCCAAACTCCAATGTCCCATTCGCCCTCCTCTGAATTTGCCTTAGGTTGTCTCGTGTGGCTGGATTGTTTTTCCTGCTCCACCAGTTACAGGAAAAAATATCTTCCTCCAAGGTTCTTGAGTCTCGGTGGTACCTGGGTCTCGCCTATGGATCATTCACTGATGCTCTCATTTTTTAGTACTCTCATTCAGTTACTTTTGTTTACTTTTTTGTGTGTGTGTTCTATTCCCTACCTCCAGTAGGCTATGTAATCTTTGAGGGCAGAGACTTGTTTTGTTTATTCCCAGCATAATGCTGGGCATTTAAGCAAGTGTTCCTTGAATCGTTTCCAATTTATAAATAGGGAAAAGAGCTCAGGTGTTAATTCAGTTATTCAATTCAACTAGCACATGTTAAGCACCTTTTATTTTTTTAACTCTTGTCCAGGTTAAATGACTTGCCCTTCATCAATCCACTGCATCCTGGGCCATGGCCAGCCATCCTGATTTTTGGCTTGCCACTGGACTTCCATGACTCTGGAAGAGTGAGGCTGAGCTTTGTGCAACTCTGCCTCACTTCCATTCATTCGAAAGTCATGGGGTGACGTCATTGGTCTGCTTCAAAAATGAAGGCTGAACAACTAGTACATGTGAAAGGCCTTAAAACTAAATTTTTGGAGTCCAGGGCCATCACAGCTGCTCTATTTGCTGGGTAGTTTCAACTTCACCAAAATTCTTAGATAGCTGAAAAAGCCTGCTGAGGGGAAAAACAAAAACAAAAATCTTTATCTAAGAAAGGATGGTAGTCTGTTTGGGGCTTCCCACTAACCACTTTTGAATTTGAGTCTATGAACTTTCATAATGTAAAGTAGATCTTAGAAGTTTTGAGCAAGGAAAAGCACTGTTTTGTTCTGTCCCCTACTTGGTCGACGCCAATAGAAATAATAGGGAAATAGTTCATTGGGGAGTCTCTGAGTGATGGTAGATGAGACGATGGGTTCTCATCTTTCTCTTCCTCATCCTGGGAGACCTTTTCTCCTCTGAAGCTGATGGGGATGTAACTTTCAAAAGGGTGCCTGTATGTGGTTTTATGTAGGTTCAAAGGGCAAAAATCCAGGCGAGAACTAGGAAAAACTTTGAAACACTAAATCTTCCTTACCAGTGCCCTAAGTACAGTTAGGGCAAGATCCGAAGTCCTTAAGACTATAGAACATGAGTTCTGTAGGACTTGGGCAGAGGTGATTGTTGATTGTTAGTTAATTGTTCCATTGTTTGCTTTGCCCCGTTCTTTCTTTTGTTAGTGGATAGAACACTGGGCTTGGAATTAGGAAGACTTATTATCTTCATGAATTCAAATCTGGCCTCAGATACTTCCTAGCTATGTGACCCTGAGCAAGTCACTTCATCCTGTTTGCCTCAGAGTCCTCAACTGTAAAATGATCTAGAGAAGGAAATGGCAAACTGCTTTAGTATCTTTGCCACAAAAACCCCGAATGGGGTCACAGAGCGCCGGCCGTAACTGAAAAACAGCAGAACAGGTATTTGAAGCGGACTATATACAGAGATCCTCCGTTAAACTGTCTATTTAGCTGCCTTATGATATACATTCTACAAGGCAATGCCAGTGGAACTCAGACTCTGGTGGGTCCTGCCATTAGAAAGGGTTTTGAGCATACTATCTAAAATTTTCTTTGGATACCTGCCAAGGAGCTTTGACCTCTCATCCTCTACAGAAAGGAAAGCATTTTTCTTTAGAAATACTAACTTAATGCATCTGGTTAATGAGTTAAATCAACAAGCATTTTTCAAGCAACCTGGCCGGTGCCAGATGCTACACATGGGGGATACAGAACAGCAGAAAGACTGTTTCCAAGGTGTTTACAGGGGACACAACATTCCAGCAACTATGTACAAACAAGATAGGTGCCCAATAAATTGGAGATAAATCGAGAGACAGAAGGCAGTAGCAGTAAGTGGGATCTGGAGTGGCTTATAGGAGGTGTGGTTTTAGCTGGGACTTGAAGGAAGATTGGGAGGGCAGGAGACATAGATGAGGAGGAGAATTAAAGAAATCTACGTTGGCTAGCTGTTAGGTACCAAAAATTTGTGTTTTGGGTGGGCTAGGATGAGTTTCTAATAATGAAAATAGCAAATAAATGTGAGAATTTGATACTGTTACAATGTTTTGGAAGGTTGAACAAAACATTTGTTCCCTCATTTTATGCCTTGCTTACTCAACTGCTTACTAGCTGTGTAACTATAGGCAAGTGACATAGCCTTTCTGTGCTATTAGTTGAAAAAAAAAAGGGAATTAAAATACCCACCATGTATACCCCATGGCTTGTTGTGAACAAATGAGTTTATTTAGAAAACAGCATTATAGGGAGGAAAAGAAATTTGCATGATAACTTTATTATATATTTAAAAGGAAGAGCAAGTTTTACATAATAGATTTGCAGTTTCATATTCAATCATCTTTTTTTGATTATACTGTGTTATGGAAATGCTTGTTTTATTCGATAAATTTAATAAAAAGGAAAACAGCATTATGTAAAGTCTGAATTGTTAGATAAATGTAAGGCCTACTTTCTTGTTTAGTTTTAAACTAGATACTATTTTAATTTTACTAAGAGAACTTTATAGGTCAAGGAATCCTATAATAAATTCTTTTATAAAGTGAATAGTCACTACCTAATTATCTTTTAGGAGTAAAATGGAGATTTTAATTTATAGGGTTTGCTTAAAGTGAGCTATCCTGACAAATACACCCTGGGTGCAGAGGCTGTCTTATTTATTTTTATAACTCCCTGAATGCGTAGATATTGCAGACATGTCACTGTTTGTTTGAGTCAATGAACCAAAAGCAAAAGTACACACTGAAAGACAATCTCGATTTTCACATAAAATAACATAGCCTGTACTTGCTATTAGAGCATAAGGCTATAGAATATCTATTTCAGGTATACCAGAAATTATAAAACCTTGTATACATTGAGATTGCCAAATCAACATACTTCCAATGCCTTTTACCTTTCTTCAGTGCTGTCCGGCAGTGAGCATTTTCCCCTCCTAAAAACAGTAAAATTTTAAATTCTTAGTTCAGCTAAGACAATTAATTATGGAACTGGTTAATCAGCATTTTTTGAGGTAATTCCAAAGTATTTGTCAACCACCATGTAGCCTCCAACACCAATTATCTTGATACATGAATTAGTTTCTTACTGTTATTACTTAGGATTTAAATAGGTGCACTGAATTTATTTTTCAGATGGTTATGGTTCCTTTGGTAGCAACATGGAGATATTATAACAAGCTAGATACTGGCTTGGGGCAGCTAAATGGTGCAGTGGATAGAGCGTCAGGCCTGAAGTCAGAAAGGCTCATCTTGTTTAGGTCACTTCGTGGGCTACTCTAAGCCTACAAACATGAAATTTGTATCCAAACCTAGGATTGGCTGCCAACTTAGAGACATCAGTATTTATTAAGTGCCAAGCTGAGGTGGTACAGTGGATAGAATACCAGGCCTGGAATCAGGAAGACTCATCTTTGTGAGTTAAAATCTGGCCTCAGACACTTACTAAGTATAACCCAGGGAAAGTCACTTCACCCTATTTGTCTCAGTTTCCTCATCTGTAAAATGAGCTGCAGAAGGAAATGGAAAACCACTCCAGTACCTTTGCCAAGAAAACCACATATGGAGTTACGAAGAGTTGGACACAACTGAAAAATAACTGAACAACAATGGAGGATACAAAATATGAAGGGATGAATGGTAAGGGAAGACAAAGTCCTGGCACTTAGGGAACTTGGGGAGTTATCCTGACTCCCCAACACACACACACACACACACACACACACACACACACACACACACACACACACACACACATACAGGAAGGTGCCTCCACCTCTGTCTCATTATCAACTTAGGACTAAGCC